AAAAAAAAAAGCTTTTTTAGCACAACTTAGGCTTATTTAGCGTCATGGCAGCTAAAAAACCTGACTAAACGGTTAAAAACGGTATTTTTTGGCAAAATTTTGGTATTCAAAGGGTTAAGAGTTCAGATCCCATCTAGAACTCGGCTTTTTTTCCGAGTTGATGTAATTTTGTCCTTGCTCATGAAAATAACTTGAATTACTAAAGCAGTTGTTTTGTAATGAAAGAGTGATATGAAATGTGAATCAGAGACAAGAGAACCATCTCGAATTCACATCAAGATACTAGATAATTCACATTGATGTGAAAACAGCCAATGCCACAAAGTGTCTCTTTCAATTATATTAATGTTGTAATTATCTCAACCAACAAAGCGGTCTAATTTGCCTCATTTTACAGTGTGATAAATTTTATTTCAGTCGTTTTCTGTTTGAGGTTCAAGAACACAGCGAACAAAACAAGATGAATGTCAGAAACCTTGCAATGGTATTCGGACCAAATATCCTCCGGTCAGGGGTGAGTTACCAAGTCATTGGCTTGAATGTCAAAGGACGTGATTTTTCCCAGTTTCAAATACTAAGTACATTAAGGAGCAAAGACGTATTCTGTACATTGCATAGAGACAAGTACATTCTTGCTGGTGCTTTCTGATTCGTGTGGGGAAATAAGAGGGATGTATTCACGCGCAGTGGACTCATGGTTAGTGCGCTCGACTCTGGATCGAACGGTCTGCGTTCAAGCCCTGGCCGGGGACATTGTGTTGTGTTCTTGTGCAAGATACTTTACTCTCATAGTGCCTCCCTCCACCCAGGTGTACAAATGGGTACCAGTGAATTTAATGCTGGGGGTAACCCCGCGATGGACTAGCATCCCATCCAGGGGGGAGTAGAAATACTGGTCACTTCATGCTACAGAAACCGCGATAAGCTCTGGCCTGGTGGGCCACTTGGCTCGTATGCAGTCTTTATCTAATAGGTAAAGCCGAGGGAAATGCCAAATGCCTGGTGTTTTTAAATACCAGTATTACGTTTACCATGTTGGAATTTGTCACTGGTCAAATCTCAGTCACTTCCAAGTTAGATTACGGCCAATTTTAATTTGTATATTAATCTGTCCATTTGTTGATCATTTGACAATGTTTTTTTTTAGTCTGAGGACCCTCAGGTAATGATGGAGAGTACAAACCTTGTCACCGAGCTCATCAGTATTCTAATCAGAAAACATGATCTGTTTTTCCCTGAAACGGAAGATGAAGACCTTCACCCCATGCGACAGCATTCAGGGTAACTATCTCTTGAGTTTTGTATTTAAACTGTTCCAGTAGAATTAATGTAACAAATATAACACATTTTCCGTATTTCTAGCAAGTTATAGAAACACGAATACCGTAAATCCTCGAATCAGCACCCGGGGCGCTTATTTTAAATTTAGACGAAGACGCGGGGCGCTTATTCGAGGGAGGTGCTTAATGAAGGGGGGTGGGGGCGCTTATTTAATTTTTCCCAAATTGTAGTCAGATATGATGGTTTTTTTGTTGTTGTTGTTATACATGTATGTGTCAGTCCCTCAAAAGTCTCAGAAGGATCCTGTCTCTCTTGAAAAACTACGTAATATACCACCATTCGTCGAGACAATCAATGTACAGTGCTTGAATGAATCGATAATCACTCGCTCGTGGTTGAACACGACCAAAACTATACATCATTTGTTGTCTCAGCACTCTTCCATAAACCAAGGGGAGAAGAGGGGGCCACATATTCGAGGGNGGGGGGGCGCTTATTTTAAATTTTGACCGAGAGGAGAGGCGCTTATTTGAGGGGAGGCACTAATTCGAGGATGTACCATAGAAGTTTGTGCACCCTGGTGCAAGAGGTTTTCTTTCTTCACGAATGGTTTTGTTTTTACTTCGTGCCTAACATTTGATTGAGAGAAAGACGAGAGAGAAACCATTTGGGAGCAGGGGAAAGTTTGGGGAAAAGAGAAAACCGGCGAGTGTTTCCACAACTGTTTTGAGTTCTCCTAAACGTTAACGAGGCCTGAGTGAAAGAAATACAGAGAATTTCTTTCAGAAAACAATGACAGAAAAAGGAAGGAAAATAAGTCGTTTATTTTATCGTCTCTTTATTTTTTGGATTATCTTTTTGGTCATGCCATCTTTACGTCAACAGCTCATGCTAGTTCTGTGTTTCTGTCGCGTTTTTAGAAGTCAGACTATTGGTACCCGCATTCTAACAGAAAGACCCAAGGTTTTCTTTTGTTGTGTTTTCATTGTGTTTGAAAAGTTACTTCAGAGTGAAATGGTATACTAAATATTTTCTCTGGCAGAAATGTTTTTTTTCACACGACATGAGTGAATAATTCTAACCTCTAATTCTAGGATCCTAAATCTGTGTGATGGTGCTTTCCTTTACAGTGGTGATTCAAATCTGATTGATTTCAACTCTGATTCCCCCCGGATGCAGAGGTCACAGCCAATCATGAACTACCAGCCTGAGCATGAGGAGGACATAGGTATGGGGCTGAGGGGAAGGTGTTAAGATGAAGTTGATAAAGGGAAAGTAACTATTGTAGCGCGTTAGTGAAGTCTGGTGGTAGCTCTTCGTCAGACTTTGCCCTGAACGGCTAACACTTGAAACATCAGCTTCACTAACGAAGTTACGGTAATGGTATTTTGTTAAAGATAACAGAAATACACCTTTTCTCGTCTTGTCATGAAGCGTCAGAATTGCAAACCCAGGAAAAACATAATGAATGCCTGCAAGGCCTTTCTGGAGTGAGCAAAGGAGAAAAATATTAACTCCCCCCCCCCCGGCGCCTTGCCGCTACAAAAGACATCTTAAACATGGCTGCAGAATGTAGAAACTGCTGACAGCCTATAGTGTAAGGCACATTGAATTCTTTATTAACCATGGATGACAGTGTGAGTATGTGGCGAGACTTAACCCTACGATCTGCCCTGCCATCGCGTTCTCCTCTTTCACGTCGGGGAAGAAATAAAACAATACCTGACCACAGATATGCCATCTTGATTGAATAAGAAGTGTGAGTAAGCTTCTATGCCTCATCTGAGATAAAAAAGAAAGCACTCCGAGAGTACCCAGCCACTAAAATGGCTACGTATTTTACAAGTGAAAAGGTTTTGTTGAGAGTACGGCAGTTTTCATTGTTAAAAGGACATCTTAGGACTGAAAGAGCTTAATTGATTTTATCTTAGCCGAAGATCCACGAAGCCACATCCAAGAGTTAGAGAATGAATTAGAACTCCAGCAACAGCAAATTAAAGATCTTCAGGTAAAACTTGAAAGCGCTTGCAAAGTTCAAGAGATGTTGACAATTCGGTTACAAGACGAGCTACGGGCAAGGTGAGTGAAATACTTAATATAACTGCTGTCAGAGCTTGTGGTTTCTCTTCCTCATCCTAATAAAAATGTTCGTCGCGCATAATCTGTGATGTCACGCATATTCTAGTTTAATTCGTTGCGAAATCCGGAGCGAAAAGATGGGCAAGTGTAGAGATGTTCATTTATTGATTCAAATCACGAGAACTTGCTCTAAGTACAAAAATATGAGGGAACAATCAACGTTAAATAGCTGACCATGTAGACAAAACACAACTGGTTTAAGTAAAAAAACAGTTCTTAGCTGATCGATAGCAGCATAGTTACTGAGGGCACGGTTCCCTATTAGACAAGAAAATGGGATCAAATTTTTTCCACCTTTCCCACCTTCTTATGGCATGCTAAGGAAGTAACCAAGTTGAAGATTTGTGTCGAGAAGGTGGCTTTGTTAACAGCTTGGCCGTGCTGATAACTGTGCTGTGCGGACCACGTAGTCATCCTGAGAAGATAGCAAATGATCGTATCACTAATGGATTTGCGAAAAGCAGTGCTGAATGGCCATCACCCACCGAACACTTCTTTTGCTTGGCGTTAGAAGTGACGAAATGCTTCTGTCTTTGTGACTATGGCACTGCAAGTGACAGTGTAGATATTGTAGCACAGTGTTTTACAAACACCATTTAAGATCAATTCCGTGACGATGTCTTTATTTTTTGTAGAGTGTCCGCTGAGGACCGGCTGGTAAAACTGCAGTCCGCTATGGAAGAATTCTGCGCTAAATACGGAAGCTGGGAGCCGCCTCAGACATGAAAAAGACTTTTGTGTTAAATTATCATCTCAAAAGCCTGTACACAGTTCTCTCTGATGTCAATAGATATGTTACACAGTCGTCGATATCAGGGCAGGGACAGTAGCTTCGTATTGGTGGTACATTCTGTTTTAGATTTCTGGACTGTTCTCAGTCTTTTTACCCTCCTCGCGCTTTTGCTTTGTCTTTCGCATGCCGCCGCTCTATCGAATGCAAACCTTCGTTTGGTTAGTGGACACAGAATGTTATCGTAAAACCTTGTTTGTATATCCTGGGTTTTATACAACTCTGTAAAGATTTTAGGTGGGCCTATAAACTTGAAGGGGGGAAGCAGACATACTGTAATAGATTTATCACTATATTAGCAAATGTTAGTATACTATGATATACTAACATTTATTCCACGAGTGCGCGTTGAATATAAGAGGATAGATATTCAACGAGGTACTAGGCGCCTCTTTGGCTCTAATCATTTCATATCCAACAAGCGCGAGTGGAATGATTGTTTCATTATAAACGCCCCAAAATATAGACAACTAAAATCAAATACAAATAAAAATGATGCATACGCTTACCATATTTGTAGAGAATGGTATCATAGTTATGCAATACTTTCTCGTGGTATACCACGGAATAATATCCCACTTGTCACAAAGGTTTCTGTGTATACCGAGAAAATAATCGTGATGACTCGTGGGTTATTCCATGATAAACCATTCGAAAACGTTACATAACTAGTATATGTTTGATTTATATGATATAACACAATAGCATGAATTACACTATTCCAGCATGTATTTTAATTTATAAAATAACTGATATACTACGCGCTTTCATTAGTCCATAGGTGTGTTCAGATGAGAGTATGTAAACACGGCTGTGACGTTTTAGAATCGCGCGTATTTTTGAAAATATTTTATAAAAGCAATAGAGTACTTTTTCCGTGGTTACATAGCCCCATTTAAATACTTGAGGGGTTGGGAGAATTCTCGAAAATTATGTAAACTCTCGACTGCGGGTTTGCATAGCCGTCTCGAATTCTCCCAACCCTCTTCGTGTTTAGACGAGGCTACGTAAACACGGAAAAAGTGCTCTATTGCTTACATACAATAGCATGAATTACACTATTCTAACATGTATTTGATTACCGCATATAACCAGGAATAAAATCATTTCGGAATTAGCTAATAAGGCAAGAGTCGAGATAACTGTTCTTACGCTGTTTTTAAGATGATTCGTCCATTTAATGAACTTAAAGCTTCTTTACCAAAGGGAACTCGACCGGTTCAATCGTTATATTGGCATATCTTTTAGGCCTGTAATCGGAGTTGGAGATGATAGGGGGGTGGGATTTTAACTGGAATTTTACGGTATTCAATAAACCGCGATAGTTAGATTTACAATTTATTACGATCTGCGTTTGAGGAATTAAAGAAATGTACATTTCATACATTTTTTCTCGTCGTTTCAGAAGAAAATCTTATTTTAGATCATATTGTAACTATTTTTGTACATTAAAGTGGCCTAACTCCTGATGTCCTCTCTTTATTCTCCATTGGTTTTTACTCGTTTCAGTCACGCGAGAGCTAAGTATTCCAAACATTCCTGATTTAAGATTCCCGATCTAACATTCCAGACAATCTTGATATGAATGCACCCTCCCTTCTGCTGGCTTGTTTCAAATAGAAGTTAAAAGTGGTACTATGATCGAATTTTTCCCCCTTGATTTTTTAGGTATATCACATAGAATTCCATGAAAGAATAAGCACGCCGTTTACCGTTTGCAAATATCTACATTAGTTCCGGAGATATTTAATGTAAAATATGCAAATGAGATGACTGATGACGTCATAAACTCAACCCAATTTTATATCGAGTATATAAATAGATATCTTGGTCAATTTGCAGCGTAGACCATTGAAACTTGGTAGGCTAATAGTTCTGCAGGAAACACACCTACGGCTACAAAAAATTTTGTTCCCATGGCAACTCAGTCTTTTCCAGTCCCCACCCTCTTGATTTCAATATGTTAGTGATTTTCAGCTCGCAAAACATTAAACGAGGCCACAAACTTGAGCTAACATATTTATATGCTTGCTGGATCAAGCACATGAGGCACCATTTGCAAATATCAAAATGGAACGCCAAAGGTGGCCAGAAATGCCTTTAATATTGGGGTGGTCTGGAACCCAGTGTGTTGCCGTGGTAACCAAACTGTTCACCTCGCATTGTGGAGCACATCTAGTAGAATCTTACTGCAAAGAATCGAACATTTCTGATTCAAATTGGCTGAGATATCTTTTTCATCATATTTGATCAAAATTTGGTTGTGTATGACATCACTGGTGCAATTTGCATATTTTAAAAACTTAAATATCTCTGGAACGAAGAGATATTTGAATGTAGTAAACAGCATTTTTCGTCTCACACAGGCTACTTGTTTGTGTTTTAAAATGGCTGCGATAGGAAAGATGCGATTTTCGTCATAGTACCACTTTAAATGTATTAGCCCATGCACGACTTGTGGACAAAGCGTGATAATGTAGGGTTTTTTGGTGTCGAATGTGGAAGAGAATTTGGTGGCTTTGATAGTATCACTGCAAAGTAATCTACAAAGGTTTCTTCGCAAGGTAAAGTTTAGTTTGCCTTCGATTTTTATCTCGGAAAGCAAGACAGGGACGTAGGCAGGATTTTTCAAAGATTGTCATGTCTTCCTGCACGCCGCGTTTTACGTTTTCGCCACCCGTTGTAGGTTGTTTGCTTAAAAAAGACTTACAAAAAGGGGGGGACTACGGGCACTCCAGGACTTCCCCCCCCCCAGCTACGCCCCTGCAGGAGACCATGATGTAGATCATCGTCTCTTGCAGAAAGTTGGGAAAACAGTGTTTGTTTATATTTTACTCTCTAGCCTGTGTTACAGGCCGTAAAGAAACCCTTTTGAATTAAAATTGCAATCTCTAAGGTCCGAAATTCGACAAGTCCAAAAAAACACCTAACCGTACAAGCCGAAGTGGCACACATTTCACGTTACGGGTGTCAATGCAGACGTCCCAGGAGACTTTAGAACGATAATTACATCCGACTGACATGTGAACTGGTTGCTGAGTTAAAAAAAAAGTTGGTTTTAGTAGAGCTTTGAAGTTAAAGAAAACAGTTGCTCCGATGTCGAACCAACAAAGTATAAATATTCAGAGTAAGATGGAGTGGTGTGTTCGTCAATTTTCGATGGGGCCCTAACATCAGAGAACGAATTAGCGAGCAGATATAAATTACGGAAATAAACTGTGAATACACTTTGTATGTTGCATATCTCGCTATACATCAACACGTGTCAATGTGCTAGCCTGCATTGGTGAAAATACGGCTCGGTTTACTTACATGGCATTATTTGGTTTGGTAGTAGCTGAAAGAAGGTCCAAGGAGGAATGGTGTGTTTGCAATGAACGTTACAAAACTGTGAAACTAGCTTTCTCAAGGGCAGCTATTTGCCTCCACTACTTCCATCCTCCAGCAGCAGTGTGTGATGTAGCCTAAGGGACCTTTTGATCTCTTATTTTGATATTTTACTTGCTATTCTTCCAAGTATGCAAACAAATGTAAACGAGAAAACTTAATTCAGAAAAAAAAAAATAAAATAAAATAAAATAGCGCCGCATCAAAAGGCATGTTCGACCTAATTTAGAGTACGCGAATGAGCCAATGAGAAAATTGCAGAGAAAAACTGACGAATGCGCTTTTCTCTCCCAGTTTCCCTTCAGCTTGTTCGCTCGAGGGTCTTCAGCAGTCTAGCACATGGATTGTTCTGCGATGGGAAATTAGGTTTTAAAGTTGTTCACCCATACTTTCTCTTCATTCACCACGGGATATTAAATTTTTCGAAGTACATTTTCAACCTAATGAACTGAATTACGTCATCAAAACGTGAATACTCAGTGAAGTTTGAAAATAACTTTTCATAAATAGCCCCCGCCTCCAACGCTACAATTAATAAGCACACCAGCCCAAATATGCGATCGGAGAACCCTTACTCATTGATAACTGTTTTTGTGGTAGATCACCGAGTAAATAAATCATAACCTGTACTGAAGGAAAGAAGAAAATTTCACAATTTAAGACTTGGCCTGTGAAGCTCTGTGAAGAGGAAAACGAGGAAGAAAAACCCTAAGGCCAAGCGTGTAAATTGCGTGCGTTTTGTTTGAAAAGCTCATGAACAATCCTTCTATTAGTTGCTAATGCTAAGGAACGAAGAAATTCACGAGACGCTCAGTAGAAGCCAGACGAAATATAATAATTTGAACTCAAACAAGCAGTAGGAAGACATAGGGTTATCTCGCGATTATCTTTTCTGCTATAAAGGATTAGCCGCGGCTAAGCTTTAGGTATTCGCGTAGTAACTACAGAGATCTGCACACGTTAAGTATTTCCTTGGCGTTTTCCATCGTACACTCACTCACTCACTCACTCACTCACTCAC